CTATCAGATTTGCGTACATTTCTCAGTTTCTGTTGCCTGTGTCACTTTCTCATTTAACTAATTAAATAACCACATTATTATTATTATTATTATTATTATTATTATTATTATTATTATTAGTCCCTTGTGTTCCTAGTGGAACATAGGGCTTCAGTAGCACGTCTCCAGTGAATTCTGTTCTCTGAGATCTTTTCAACCTGGTTCCACGACAGCCCAGAAGCTCTCATTTCCTAAATAACCACATAGTATTTAATAATCTCAAAATCACTCAATATCATTTTTGTGTTAACCTTGAATTGTGTGCATAAAATTTGTTTTGAAGTGAAATTTCAACCCTAAACTTTGCGGCCTATTGTATATTCAAGGGTTCATTCATCTCATAGTTTCTTGACTCATTCAAAGAGGAGAAACAAAGGAAACAATGGGCTGACCACTTCAAAAAAACTCTTGAATCAACCACAATCACCACCATCTGCAACCCGTTTACAAATACTACCAGAAATCGCAGAACAACCAGTGAACACAAGCCCTCCAACAAAAGCAGAAGTCCTAAAAGCTATAAGTTACTGAAAGCCGGGAAAGCAACAGGACCAGATGGAATTCCTCCGGAAGCACTGAAAACAGACGCAGAGATAACAGCGGACATGTTCACACTACTACTGCACAAGGTTCGGAAGGAAGGAAGTAAATGTACCTGCCGATTGATTGGGAGAAGGGCTACCTTGTCGAACTCCCAAAGAAGGTTGACAGACCTTAGTCTTTGCAGGAACTGGCGTACAATCATGCTCCTGTTCACCCAAAGCAGGCAAAATATTAAGCCGCATCATTCTGAAGAGACTAAAGGATGCGCTGGATTCAAAATTACCACCGGAACAGGCTGGTTGGATTCAGGAAGAACAAATCATGTGTCGTTCAAATTGCAACGCTACACTACACATCACCATAGAACAGAGCATAGAATCGTGGTCAACTCAGATCAACCTCAACTTCATCTATTTTGAAAAGGCCTTCGACAGCGTCGACGGAGAAGTAATTTCTCAGGTAGCTGCTTCAGCACTACGCTTTTAGTGCCACAAACCGCCATCAACCTCATTCAACGGCTATGTGACGATGATGATGATTATGATACATGCCAGTGGGTTCACAATGGAAAGCTCAGTGATGCCTTTGAAATGAAGATAGGGGACAGGAGCAAGACAAGGTTGCCTACTATCACAGATCATCTTCCTGATTGTGGTCAACTGGACAGGACTGGATCATGCAAGAAACTGTGAGGAGGTAGAAGATGGGGATGCGCTAGCTGGACCAATGAGAAGACCCCAGAAGAAGATTTGGCTTTCGCCGATGATGACTTATGTCTAATGTCGCACTAACTCAGTCTACAGGCAAAAACTAACAAGTTGGCAGAAGAGGCAAGACAGCAAAGATGTGACTTCAGGTAAACGTAGAGAAGATAGAAGTGATGGAGATACTCAACCAACGACAACAACAACAAGCACCAGTCACCGTGAACTGGAGGAATCTGAAGGGAGTTGTCTCTTTCACCTACCTAGACAAGGCAGCCTTGATTCAACTACTGGCGGCGGTGGCAGCACAGATGAGGATGTCAAATCCAGGGTCGGAAAAGCAATGCAGGCATTCATTAACCTGCAATTAATCAGTGTGGAGATCTACTCCACTGCACTCAGCATAAAGCGTGAACAACATCCGGATTTTCAACACTAATGTCAATCAAGTTTGTGCTTCTGTGTGATAGTTGATGCGTTACGAAAAGCATTTCCGACAAATTGTAGACATACATCAACAGCTGCCACCTAGACTCACTCAGTACTGAAGATCAGATGACCAGAATTGTCAGAATAAACAACAAGAAACTTTAGCTGCCTGACAACTAACCAACCAAGAACCCATCGCTCATGAAATATGCAGAAGAAAGTGGAGACGGACTGGGTGTACCCTGAGAAGACCATTTGGGGACACCACGCGTCATGCCAGGCCGTCCAATGGAAGCCAGACGGAAAGCGACGAGTTGGAAGATTCGAGACAACGGTGACATGGACGAGATGGTGTGAGGAAGAAATGAAGGCTTGTGGGCGATTGTCGAGCCAGGTTCGAAAGACTGCAAAGAAGAGAGTGAAATGGAGACGTGCTACTGAAGCCCTATGTCCCACTAGGAACCCAAAGGATCAATAATAATACTAATCCGATTTATTTATGAGCAGGTTTCTTCTTACATGAATTGATTACTGATTAGTAACAGGTATAACTGCCAGCTCCTTATGGCTGAGTAGAAATCGAGGTCTACCAATTAACCTTGAAAGTTAATCACTAAGTGGTACGAATTCTCAGTGCAGTCTGTTTTATTGTTAGATAGTGAAGTGACCGAATGAAATAATGAAAAATATGCAACCGGTATTAACGTCCTGAGATACATGGAGTGGATACGAATAACGAGTGTTCTCCCTCAGACCTCATACTCCGCTGAGTCGGAGAAATCATAAGGCAAAGACCAATCCATGATTTTAAGGAAGACACTGGCCGGGATCCGGGCGCGGTCCTAATTTTTATCTCACCTTCAATCATCACCCAGTATAAATACTAGTCTGACAAACCACGGCTATCTCAGATAGTCAAAGTGATAAAAAATCTGAAGTCTTTCGAATGATACCCTTAGCAAAATCCTAAGAAATGCTTACTATGTGTTTTGTGGTTAGAAAAAACGCAGGAAGACTTTAAAGCTTATTTTCACTCATGAATGACCTGAAAGCAGGTTTAAAAAATTAACAGTGGACGACGTGAGCAGCAGTTAGAAGCGATTACCACCGATATTCAGATTTCGCGGAGTGAGACTTATGTAAGCGTTGAAGGGGGGTTTCGCTTACTTTCAGATGAACTTATCAGTGGTGTGTATGCGAACTTCTGACTAACAGAGGAGCTGATTAGTTCAGACCTAATAAAGAATGAAAGAGAACAGAATAACAATTCAAAGACTTTTTTATATTCTTTTCACATTGCTTGTGGTTGAAATTTGTCAAATTGAGCAGTGATTTCAATCGACGTGCTTCAACTCAGATGACGCTTTAAGCACAAGAGAAATCTCAGTGTACGTGAATTGGTTACTGGAAGGTAGTCAAGTTCCAAGTGCTGATCGAATTCTATCGATCATTTTTACAATGTGATCACTAGGCTAGGAGACTCATCATCGTGATACACTGAGATAAGTGTTAGTAGAATGGAGGCAATCGCAAGAAGGTGCTGCTTATTGACACTCGTCAGCAAAGTGTATCTACAACCTCGATGATGGGTGATGTGAGTTCGAATCTCAAGCGGGACATCAGTTCTGTCGAGGTTGATGACTGTCAAAAAACACGAAACGTCAGTCCAGCAAGGCATTCTAACAATTTACTCCATCCAGCTAACTGAAGTCTGAATGTCTTTCATTTACTACTCACCGTAGTACACAGTGAAATGCAACTTTTCTGTGTATGATTTCGATTCACGGTTGTCAACAGCAGATGATATCAGGAAGTAATATAAACTTGATAACTCTTGCCTTTGAAACAGTGTTCATGTAGATTACGACAGCTCGACGGAAAAATATCAAAGAAAGATGTAGGGATCTGTAAAGGGGAGGTTCCTCAGCTGATTACATTGGCAATCTCATTCCAGTAAGGTGGATCAGAAAGGCCTTTCTCATAATGAACCATTTTGATGTATCGAATGTTGATTGAAGTAGTTATAATAACTGAAAGAGAACACTTGACTGACAGTATGAATGAATGAATGATGCCGGATCTCTAATAGACGTCTAGTATAAATCAGAAGACTGTGATCATAGAAGTGGTGTGATAAGTTGAACAGTATGTACATCAAAGTACCTCAAAAGTATATACTCAGTATTATCAAATGTATTCCCCTCTAGTTTTACTTTCTTACGTACTATTTCCAAGACTAATGATTTGTGAACATGTGACCTGTTTTACTGAAGTATACACTGGTTAGTGTTTATTATCCGCTTACGTCATCTTCTAAAAAACCAAGCTTTCAACATCTTAGAGATGGGCACCATTAGTTCACTTTCAACTCTAAATTTTTCCTCTCTTTTAAATCCCCCTCTCCCAACATGATAGCTCAAGATGAAATATTTATGTATGTGTGTGTGTGCGTGTTTCTTAGATTCTGTTAAGAAAATAGTTTCACCAATGAGTCTTTATAATTTCTCACCTTTCATCAAAATAAGCATTTCTAACTATAATTGAAAATTATTCACATTCACATACATTGCATAATAAACGGAGAAGGGTTGAACAAAAGAAATTACAACAACAATAACAACAACCGAAAAAGACAAAAAAATTGAGTTGAACAAAGCAAGAACTGAGGATATGCTGTTGAATAATGATTTAAGCTTCAATACATATTTTATTTGTTGATTTTCAGCAGAAGCCTGTTAAATGAGAAGTATAAGTAAGTCATTGTATTCTTGTTCACCACTTTTTTCGACCAAGGAATGAAGTAAACACAGAAAATAGTCATATATCTCAATGATTTTTCAATGGTCAATACCTCGATGCATAATTTAAAATTGTGTTAATATTGTGTGCACTGCTTAAACACTGAAATAAGTAGTATTTATGCGAAGTAAGTAAATGATTGTACTCAGAATATATGCAAATAAATGTGAACTTTCTTTTCAGGTTTATATATATATATATATATATATATATATATATATATATATATATATATAGACGTAAGTAGATTTGTATATAATTTATACACGCACAAATAAGTGATATCAACAGTTTCGCTTTGGTAAAATATTTCATCAGGATGCTAAAAATAAGGGTTAAACATAAGCTGAGGCTTAAATTAAACAAATAAAAAGGCTGTTTGGTGAAGCAGTAGACTTATATAGTGGTTTCTGTACGAAAAGATGTTGATGATCCTTTGCTGGTTAAATCACCGCCTACTTTTCTATTCATTTGACAAGAGTACTATCAATTCTTTTCCGGCATATCTTGTAGTGTATGCCATTGTGCTATTGGACGTCTTGGATTGGCTAACATATCAGACCAATGACGAAGAGCAGCACCTGTAGCATTACAGCCTAGCACAACTCGGCCTATTGGCTCTGATGTCCCAATACGATCATAGTCAACGACTGTAACAATTAAATTAACTTTCTGAAATTGAAATTTTTGGAAACATTAGTGATCATATCAGTAATCATAAGATTTTATGCACAAAAAAAGAATTGGTTATTGGTGGGTAATCTTTGTAATTTTCGAGTCCTTAGCTCTAGGCTACTCATTGCTTTAAATGAACTTTGATATAATGTTGGGTTTATTGTAACAGTCACCCTAAAGGTTATCTAACATTAGATCTAAACTGTCCTTTGTAAACACTTTACTAACGTTATAATCATTTTTTTATCATCTGGCGATTTTGATTGGTTGTTCAAGGACGTATATTAGTTAGTCAATGATTGGTTTCTAGCTATTATCCTATACCATTATGCATATGATTTAAAAAGACAAAACTTATAAGTAATTCTGAGGTCATCAGTAGACACTCTGTTGAGTCGAATGGGGTTACATGAAAGGTGATCCAAAATGAAGAAAATGGACTTGACTAATGCTAATTTTGTTACGCTTTATTTATGAGATTTATTCGGTTAGTTTGAGGTTTATGGGGATTTTGACCATTTCAAGGTAGTTTTCACCACCTGGGAGCACTGGAAGGTTGTTCCGTCCTACTATGGGACTCTTCAACAGTACCCACCCACAACCTCATTAAAGAGCTAACTCAGGATCTCCATGTCTTATGGTGAACGCGCTTACCATTCAGCCTCTGGGTTGGAGTTCAGTGCCTCACAGTTTCCTATTTCTGTAGATTCGTAATATAGCGCAAATATCCACCAAGATCTTCTGCTAGCATCCACTTCAATTCCAACTAGTTGGCCCTAATTGTTCCGATTGCTCATTGAAACTTCTAGAACGACGCTAATAAGCACTGTCCAATAATATAGTTTAACGTTAATGGAGATTTTAGTTATAAGGTAATATTCCCCATGGATTGACATCAGTTGGAGAACCATTGAAAACTTGAGATTCTCAGACAGCTGTTACATCTTAGTATGCGACTTCTCAACGGTATGCATTCACAGCTAACGCACGTTTGCTGTGAGACCTGAAATTCCTGATTTCGATCCCTTACGAGATCATTGGTGTGTACCACTCAGGAGTCCTATATTTAACTGGTTATTTTGAATGATGAAGTACTTTTTACAACTTTATTCTCCAAGTTGAATAGCATAATTTTGACATTTTCATTATCATACTGCGTAACATGATCGCCAAATGTATAAGACCATGAAGTGAACTACACAAGTGGTACTATTGAAATAACAATGACAATGATAAAACAACTGCCAAGTGTTCCGTTTCCTCTCAGGGGAACACCCCAAATATAATCAAGAATTATAGCCAGTAAGGTATAATGATGAAAGCAAATGGGAGTTCACTATTCTGAAAACTAAGTTGACTTGGTGACTGAAGTCTGTTCACTTACAACAAAGATAACTCAACATTAATATCAGCAGCAAGGAACATAGTGTTGGATAACAAATGATGAATGTACTAAATTGAAACAAAGATTAATGACATCATAGGCAGTTATTATTACCAAAATTAAAAACTTTTCTTTGTTTGTGAGCATTCATAACAAATATACTTCAAAGGAGGCTTTCATCATGGACAGATATCAGCCAGTGAAGCAATGAAAACCTGCAAGCACTGTACAACTGTTTAATCCTAGTTTGTGACACCTCAGAAGTGTGGAGTATCGGGCACAACTATCAGGTCTCATAGTGAGCGCATTGCCACTCAGCTATCAGGTCCATCAGTACCCAATTTATGATACAGTGCAGTCATCATCAAAGGCTATCGACAAGGGGTTTTTTACACACTTGACTCACTGGATCTCACAGGTGTTGATTTCTCATTAGAACTGTAAGAAGTTCATCTCGAAGTAGGTCACTAAAGAGCATGGAATTGCTATTGAATGGATGGAACAATAAAATTAGGTGTAAACGTCACAGTAGATAGCAATGGACATTGAAGCCTGTAACAATAGATTATATTTTTATTTCTGAAGTTTTCTCGATGACTGCATGATACATAATTAAGGAGCTGATGATATTATTATTATTATTTGTCCCTTGGGTTCCTAATGGAACATGAGGCTTCAGTAGCACGTCTCCATCCCAACCTGTTCTCTGAAATCTTTTCAACCTGGCTCCACAACTGCCCACAAGCTCTCATCTCCTCCTCACACGATCTCCTCCATGTCACCCTCACCTCTGACGCCCAACTCGTCGCTTCCCATCTGGGTTCCACTCGATGGCCTGGCCTGGTGCGTGATGTCCCCAGTCGGCCTTCTCAGTGTATGTCCAATCCAATCCATCTCCACTTCCTTCTACCGCATATTTGTTCAGCGATAGCTTCTTGGTTGGTTCGTTACCAGCAAGCCAGAGTTCCTTGTTGCTTATTCTTTCTGGCTATCTGAACTTCAGTAACGAGCCAGCGTAGACAGTTGTTGATGAATGTCTGTAGTTTGTTGGAAATCCCTTTCGTAACACGCCAAGTCTCTGAACCATCACATTGAAGCAGTGACTTACTTGACGTTGGTGTTGAAAATCCGGATGTTGTTCACGCTTTATACTGAGTGCAGTGCAGTAGGTCTCCACACTGGTTTCAGGCTAATGAACGCCTGTCTTGCTTTTCTGATTCTGACTTTGACTTTCGCCTGTAGATCATCAAGTTTGTGCGAAATTAGACACAAGTCATCGGCGAAATCCAGATCTTCTAGGTTCTTTTCCGCAGTCCAGCAAGCGTATCCCCCTCTTCTCACAGCTCACCACTGTTTGCTGCATGATCCAGTCGACCACAATCAGGAATATCATGGGTGATAGTAGGCAACCTTGTTTCACTCCTTCCTATCTTCACTTCAAAAGCATCACTGAGCTTCCCATTGTGAATTACTTGGCTGGTATGTGGCATCTTCATATAGTTGTTGAATGAGGTTGATAAAGGTTTGTGTATTCCGTAGTGTTGAAGCAACTGCCAAATTACTTGTCGGTCGACGCTGTCGAAGGCCGGCCATTTCAAAGTCGATGAATTTGAGGTAGAGTTGGGTTGTCTGCCATTCTGTACTGTGTTCTATGATACAAATAATATTTGTCCATAGAGAGCTCATTTTTGATAATACACGAAACATAATCTACTCAGGCACCTTGCGTACAGTTGTGCGGTAAACAGTGAGCCACACCTATTGTGTGAACGTCAGTGACACTTATTACCTAACTTCCCAAACCTTAGTAGGTGAAGCAGCGGTGTTTGAACTCGCAACCCAGTGACTGGAAGTCCACTCTGGAAACCAATAGGCCGCAACTTCATTTTGTAAAATATACTTACTCATTCCTCAAATATCCCTAGTGCAAGTCAGAAATTTAACTAGCTAGATGCTGATGATTTCTAAGGACTAATGGAACTTCAAGAAACTTCCGTTTTAACACTGATTGGTGACTGATTTCAACCCATGCGATGGATAGTGTCTACGTCTTGGATCTTGGCGTATCTGAAATTTTAGAAATTCTACCTCGTGCAGTTTGAGTATCACCGTTTAAAACTAATCCCAGTAATGTAGATGAATGAACTCACATGAGATTTTACCAGCCTTACTTACTTCCATCTGTCCTATTCGTTGACATACTTTATGATTACAGACACTTCTTCCGACAATTTTGATTTGATACAATACTGAGTGAAGTAGCAAAATGAATGGATACACTATTGTATTAAGTTATCTGTTGATACAGTGAATACACGTCTTCAACTTCCGATTGAGTATATTCAGTGACAGAAGTTTCTAAGGTAGTTTGCACCACACTATTTGAAAAACCACTGAGAACTTGTGAGCACTGGACAGCTATTTCGTCCTAGTATGGGACTCCTAAGCAGTGCATGCCCATGACTTCGGACCATCAGAAATTGAACACAGGACCTTCAGTTTGCACGTCCAAAACGTTATGGTTGAGCCACTGGGTTGGAATCCAATGGCCACATTTCCTACTTCTTTCAGTTCACCATATAGTTCAACCTCCATCCAATGCCGTTGTTGACTAAACGTATTCACTCCCGACTTGGTTGGCCTCATTGGTCAGGAATTCTTACCAGAGCTTTGGAAATAAATCTCTCGAAGCTAGTCACCACTGAGAACAGGATAGTAATTCATTTTTGAGATTCGGACTGCTGAGGAGTCCTACACTGAGACGAAACTTTTATTCAATACTCTCAGGTTTTCATTGATTCTCTAACTGATGTCACTTCATAATGAATATTAAACTGAAGTCAATACAATCCCCACAAACTTTGAAATCGAAATATTTTTATCGTCTACCGAACAAAATTGTATCTAAGTATGTGGAAGTGAGTAAACATACCACTTGCTCCGGTTAACCACCTTATCATACCAATTAACTGGCATGCCTTCCTTAAGTCATATCATCACGAGAATCCAAAAAAATTAAAGTAAGAGGAAAGAGGAAGCAGAAAAAGACTGAGATCACTTCACCTTCTCAGTAATAGACTAAGCTATTTGAAACAACTTACTTGGATCTGATCGAAGGGGACATCGAAAGCAAACGACTCATTGTAGTATGGATTCAAAGTGTACTTCTTAATCGTGGTCTTCTTTTTTTTCACACGTTTCCCGTTAAACATTAATGACAGCTTCACATATGGATCTGGAAAGTTTTATTCCAACAAAAATTGTTACGTAAAAATTAAGATAACATGAAAATTTGATGAGAATCGATAATCAATGAATTTCAGTTTGACTATCTGAGATAGCGGTGGTTTGGTAGACTTGCATTATCGATACTGGGGTTGACTGGAGATGAAATGAAAATCCGAACCACGGCAGGAATCGAATCAGCAACCTCCGGGTTATCAACCCGAAGCCCTTCTCAGTATCAGTCCAAGTCTGTAAAACCACGGTCATCTCAGATAGTCAGAGGGATAATTCCAGTAGATTTGGATTGGGATGAGAAGTCGTGACTGGGAAGAGATAGTAACGCGTCACGAATTCATACGGCAGTCGGGCGAAACCGCTAGAGATTGGAATAAAATTAAGACCTTGTCAGCAACTGGGTCTCGGAGCTCACTCGGCACAACACTGGGTCAGTAACTGATAAGTCTTTGGTTTGAATCCAAGCGTGGCCTAGACTTCCACTTCACCTTCAGTCATCATCCAGTATAGAAAAGAATGTGCTTAATACCTTCTATTATACTTTCAAGTAGTCTAAAGCCTTATCAGTTTGAAGGTAATTCAACAGGTGGTTTTTATAACTCACTAGCCTCATTGATAACACCTTGATGTCTGAAACTACAGGTCTTGACTCTGGCATATTGAAGTAGACCACCGCATGCTCATCTAACAAGCCTCCAAAGGAGTGAAATTTGCGCTTCGAATCCCACAGAGAAGATACTAGTGCTTACAAGTTTGAGTTATGGTGACTCTTTGTATTTCTCACTCACTAGTAAGACCGAAAGGCAATTCGTTTCACAAATTTGTGTCAGATTCAGAGTATCACTTCTGACTATACAGTATTCACTGGGATACAAATAAATCCAACTGAGGAGTTTCAGAAAGGACGAAACATGCCTACTGGTTTAAACTCCTAGCCAAATAACTAATGCATAAGCAAGTTTTGAAGAATATATTTTCAACTAGCTGTGCAAAATACGTGACCCAAGTTAATTTTTATCAGTATAACATATTCTGAAGAGCTGTCAGAACTGTTCAAGAAATGAATCCATTATGACTACTTATTGATGTACCCGTTATTCTCTGTTGTTTTATTGGACCAACTTGTTCGATTTCTATTGGCATATGGACGCCTATGCGGATGCCTCAATATTATCTGAATGTTAATTATGATAATTAGCTTGGTTATGGTTAGCAGAAGAATCCAGGACGCGCATTCCGTCCTATTTGGGACTCGTCAACTGGATGTACTTCCACCCCTACAAAGACACGAACTCAGTACCCATCGTTTCAAATGCCATAGTGTTATTCAGTAAGCCACAAATGTTTACCAAATTTCAGTGACTCATTGAAGCATCCAAAATACTATAAACAATATGTTTTACGCTTATGTATGAGTGAGTATCTAATCAATCAGTAAATCAACCAGACAATAAATCAATGAATTTTTCATAGGTTTATTTGACTACTAACCTGAAAGTCCACCAACATCCATTTTCTTCAAATTTTTCGCTTCAAGTATGTTGACATTCAAACGACCGGATGTCGGTACATAACGCAGTGAAAAGCATATATCGCCTAAACGATTTTCCTTGTAGAAGAAAGAAGCAAAAACAACAAGAAATAGTAAAAATAAAATTGGAAGCTTAAATTAAATCAAGTTCAATGTCCAATTAGCTGATAGTGAAAATCGAAACAATTGAATATGTTAAACGGTGTCACACATTAGATTCATTTGGGAGACGCTTGAACAATACAAACAGGATAGCATATACAGAATGATGTGGATTCATCAGATAGATAAGAGTACTGATTGTAATGAAGAAAATGTATAGAGGTCAGTAAGTAAACTTCAATGGTTGCTGTTCAACCAACTATTAGGTGGATTTATTGAAAACACCCTGTTGGAAGAGAGGAAATCCTAATCTAGAACTTAATACCAATCAATAATCATTCCAAGTTGGTATTCATCGTAGACTGACATCAGTCGGAGGGACAAAAGAAACTTGGGAGCACTGGACAGCTGTTTCGTCCTAGTATGGGACTCCTCAGCAGTGCGCACCCATTACCTCGCCAGGGATCCAACCCGCGACCTTCAGGTTTCGTGGCCAGCACATTACGGTTGAGCCACTTGGTCGGAATCCAGTTGTCCATATTTCCAACTTCTGTCAGTTCATGACATAGCCACCCAATGTCATTGCTGAGTAACTGTCCTCAAGACCACCAGGCTGAGGAGTAGCATACTTAGACGAAACAGCTGTCCAGTGCTCCCAGGTTTCCATTGTTCCTCCAACTGATGTCAGTCTACGATAAATACCAAATTGAAATATTTCTAAATCCCCACAACCTTCACGAAATTCAATAATCATTTGATGAAAGAATAATACACAAACAAGAAGAGAAACGAGGGAATATAACAAAGTAGTAAAGGTGCTGATTTGAGTCTTAAGACTCGAGTCTATACGTGACAAGATGCCAACTCTAACCATTTTCATTAAGTGATATATACACGTTGAAGAAGATGGATTGTAGCAGCAGAAAAAGGAGAAAGAGAGATATTTATCTACCAAGATAATCTGAGAATGTACTAACATATAAATCGAAATCTCATCCAACTGAAGACATAGTATGTAACAATTATGTATCCAAGTCCCTCACAAACACTGATAATATAGGTTTTTTTGATAAGCTTTACAGAGTTGTGGAATGCTGAATTTTACAAGTGTTCAATTGAGGTTGGGTTCAGTCCATGTGTTCGGCTTTGCAAATGAATTATGGGCCATTCTTATCCTTGACTGAATTATTCACCTCTTTGTGAACTTGTCAAGTAACCTTGTCCAATATACTTTGATATGATGCGCGTTTCTGTGTCCCAAAGCAAGCGGGTTCAGGATTCTTCAAGGGTTTCAATAAATAACATTGAGAAGTAGTGCAAACTAGTATAAAGTCAAATATCATTCAACCTCTTTGATATTATAACTTGTGAATCTCCGTCATTCAATGACACAGACCACTTTTCTTGCTCGCAGACACACATATATATACACACATAACCTCATATTAACTTAACTATACATGAGTTCATTTTAGTTTGCATGATATTTAACTAGGTATGACAAATTTCACATTCCTTATTTGTGAACCAGTATCCATTGTCAGTGATCAGGTCATAGGCATCAAGTTTCATGTATTAAACTTTCGCCTAACAGACAGCTGCTACCTTGACGTGGTATCCAGGCCTGAACATAACGATCACGCAGTGAGCTACACTGGCTGAAACGCTTGTTACTTCAAGGTCCTACCATACCACGAACGTCTGTTGGATAGGGGTGAGATAAAACGCAGTTACTGATATAGCGTAAATTGCTACACTTTGATAGGAATCCCAGGCGGAAGTCGTAATGTCGGCTGAATTGGGTGTGACACTCCCCTGCCCAACGGTGTTCTGGTGCCGCTGGCGTGTGTTTATCTGTCCAGTGTTACAACAACCTACAAAAGGTTGTGTGTGAAAGGCTTCAAACAGATTTCTCATGGGCTGAATGGTCACATAAATCTTTTTCTCTTTCAGGTACATTGAAGAGACATAGCCTTCCACGGTGTGGGAAGCCGGTAAGTGTCAACTGCCCAAAAGTTTCCAGTAGTTCACAAAACCTCCTCCTCCTTCCTCGCCTTCACTTCCTGATACTAATATCAAGCTTCTTACATTTTCCGCAACCTCTCACTCTGTGATCACTGCCAGCCATTGTGCTCCTCAGTTCAACACTGAAACTTACTTACAGGTGAACAGATAATTGCTGAAGGACAGCTTTCTTGAAACAACCACCACCAAGCAAATCTACTATTTAGTATATCTACTACTCATCCATATAAAAAAGGCTTACTTTTTCACCTTCACCCTCTGGAGGACTGAGTTCACGCCATTCTTCAATCACATTGCACAAATCCACAGAGCCTAATGGCACTTTAATCTGACCGATTTGATCGTGTTTAGAAAATCGATCAAAATCATAAACAGTAAATAGTAATGTCTTCGAATTGATCTCAGCATATGGAATCTGTAAAATGATATGGGAAGATAAGTGAGAGAAAAGCTGAATGTATACACATGACATTCATTACATATTTAATAGATCTGACAGAAATGACCATTAGGGTTATTTAAACAGCCTGATCATAAGTAAATCAATTTGTTTTAATTTGAATAGGTCAGACTATAGGCAAATGAATTTTTTAGTCTTAAAACTAGTAATACCAGTGAGAAATAATGGTATTCGGGTATAATATGTTAAGAATCTATGATGAATAAGCCATCGGTCTATGTTTCAAGCTTATCGGTAATTTTCAGGAAAGCTTATCTGCAATCATAAGAAAACTGGAGTTCCCTAAGAGATACTAGGGTTATTTCTAGAAACTTTAAGACAATGGTATTCTTGTGAAAAGAGACCCTCTGTGAGACTGATGTATCCGTATGAATTGATCAGTGATATAGCTATCAAGTCCCTAATGCTATCTGATCGTCAAATATTAAACGGCTCCTAGGGATGAGGATTTGATAGTTTCATCGATTATCATTCAGTAATTGATTTGCGTAATCGATAATCTTTTTTAAAATAATCAACATCGACCACTCTCAGCCTACCGTTATACTCATCACACGTTGGTGCGTCAATTTTAGACGCGTTTTGTACCTTTGATCAAGATGTAATTGTAATATTTTAGTGATTGGGCTGGACGATGTGTTATGAACTGATTTAATGGGGATATCCCTTTGGATGAAAAGTTAACGTAAAGTACACTGAAACTTGAACACATAATCTTCAACCTACTTAGAATTTCTACAAAAACATTCCATTCCATGTGGAAAATTTCTGCTTTCTACAGTTATTTCAGAAGAAGACCGAAGAATCTAGCGGTGATTTTTGCAGTATTCTGTTGAAAATATCCTAGCTTTGATTCATTGGGTACAGGTGGATCGAAAAAATTAACTTTGGCATAGAATTTACGGTCATTGTACTATTCAGGCATCATTAACCGGATTTAGTCGTTAAAGAAATTATTATTAGTGGTATTATTTGTCCCTTAAGTTCCTAGTGGAACATACGACTTCAGTAGCACATCTCCATTCCACTCTCTTCTCTGCAATCTTTTGAACTTGGTCCCACGACTACCCAGAAGCTCTCATTTCTTCCTCACACGATCTCCTCCATGTCACCCTTGTCTCAGATGCCCAACTAGCCGTTTCCCATCTGGGTTCCACTCGAGGGCCTGGCACATGATATCCTCGAATGGTCTTCTCAGTGCACGCCCAATCTATCTCTGATACGTAGCGACAAAAGGCAGCCAATAGGGGAGTCGTTTTCAAGTTATGATCAGATAATGTTCAGGTCGTGGTTTTTGCATGCACTGTCATGAGAACCTAATTGGAGAAGTTCGACCTCATACAAGGAATCGGATTGGTTCATTTATAGCTTCACTTTCTGAGAGTTTTGTAAACATATATATGTCGTGTATTTGGCTAGTAAAAGTTGTCGCTGTTCTTGCAGTCACAGGCCGTGTTTGTCTTCTGATTGCTCCGCAGCTCAGTGAAGTAGAAGGTACTGAGGGACGTCAGTCGTAAAGGTATTCGGTTGAGGTGTCTGTTGAGTCTCAGTATTCATTATACCCACGCGCGCAATCCCACCACTTGGTCACAACAATCTCCACTTCCTTCTGCATATTTCTTGAGTGATAGGTTCTTGGTTGGTTTGTTGCTCGGACAGAGTTCCTTGTTCCTTATTCTTTCTGGCCATCTGAGCTTCAGTATGGAGTGAGCGTAGGCAGTTGTAGATGAACGCCCGTAGTTTGTTGGAAATCCCATTCGTAACGCGCCAAGTCGTTAAAGAAATGAAATTCTCTAATAATGTAAAGCTTAACAATTGACTGCTATTGATTTATCGACTATCGACTGGAAAAACTAATGGCTGATTGCTTTTAGAATATTGTTTTGTCGAACTCAGTCATATGAATTATTAGTTTTGCACTGTCAGCGATAAATAAGCACTCCTACCCACTCATTTATGTATTTCCGGTGACCTTAGTGAAGGAATACATTTCATTATGCTGGTTTTTATGGATGGTTGGTTAGCTTAAAAACAAATCGAGTGGATCCTGAAAGGAACTATCGAGTCCCGCACTTAAATAGGTTAAAAAGTAGTAACTGTCATGTTTAAAAGCAATGAAGAACTAGAATATGATCCAACTAGATACTTAGCGGTAAGATATGCCAAATGCCTCATTAACTGCCTACAATTTTGTGCAGTTGAGAAGGTGGTTAGATCTAATCAATCACCTGTTCAGAGTCAAGTATTCAAGCTGATGAGAAAATTTCATGATATTACTTCCCAGTTTGTTTGATTCATTTGCAGAAAATCTAAAAATCTTGTTTCTGAAGACAATACAAATGACTAAAGGGCAGGTTCAACTTGCACTACATCAGCTGAACATCCTCAGAATTAAATCCAATGCATTACATTATTGAAGACTCTTCGACAAGTGGAGATGGTTTTATACTTCTGTCTATTATTCATGCGTACAATGAGTATAAGGAGACTGGTGTGACTAGGTAAGCTGCGGTAATGAAGCTTCTGTTTCGTGCCTATTTAGCCATTCTGTAAAAGTAGATTATCAAGCGATGAAAATACTTGTCAGAGCTGGAAGAAACCACAGTTGTACTGTGTCGAAACATTTATGTAAAGTGTTATTGTGTTCCGACCTATGGTTTCTCACGGAATACAAATAACTTTCGTCAATATCTGAACACAAATTAGTGATTTTATCACAGATCATTACTTGAGATGGACCTGAGTTTTGAAGTTTAGTTTAGTACGATGAGGGTGGCGAGTAAATTCGGTATACTGTCAAGATAAATCAGTTCTTGTTCTTTCAGTTTGGTGGAAACAGATGAAGTTTATTTCACTAAGAAAATAAACAGACGATTTACTAGGGATTGGCAGAGTTGTAGCGTGTACCCTCAAGTTGCCTGCCTGTGAAACACCTGGAAATCATCTGCATAAGTTTACACTATGGGGGATTGCAACCTTTAAAGTCAAGCAAGTTGACCTTGAGGACAGGTTCCTCCTAAACGACGTTTAATGTGGATCGTACAATACAATACAAGCAGAAAAAGGTGAACCACTTAGTTCGAATCCAACGAATTAATGGTTACGTGTTGGTGATGAAAACTGGCGATTGTGAAGCGAATTCCCAACAGGCCATCTTGAATGAGCAGTGCTGAAGAGATAGGAAACAGCTGTAGATTGGTCTTCGAATTTCCAGTATTCTTGTAGGTCATGTCATTTCACGATGAAGACTAACTTGAAAATCGACCAATCACCACCGTTCCAACACATGTGTTGTGCACCACTCCGCGAGATATTTTTCTGAATGTCAAACGAGACAATGTAATTCTTGTGTTGACAAGAGTAAGACAGGTCATCAATAGTTTGACCTCATATTTGAATTCCTGCATATACTGGAAAGCCGAATCTAAATAAAGATACTTTCAACTGAGTCATCGATTATACAGTTAATTATCTGTATCATCCCGAGTCCGAGTCCCGGTGGGAACATTATCACTCACTGGGAGGCAGGTACATCCAGCTCACGAGTCCTAAATAGGACGAAATGCGCATCCTGGATTCCACTGCTAGCCACTGTCCATCATTACTATACATATTTAATAGTTTTGTTAATTTTACTAGGATTATTATTTTTAAACATTAAATTAAACGAAACAAACTACATTACTGAATTTTATCACGTTGCAGGTAGCATGTTCGACATTCTATTGATTATATATTTTTAAGGTCGTTCGAGTGAAGGTCATGTACGGGTGACCTTGACGCCCAACTGGTTTAACTAGTTTATTCAATCAAATTCTGTTGACTGTCATCTGGGTTCATAATTTCCAACCGTTTGGAAAAAAAAGCTGGTAAAAAAACTCATTTCGTCAAGGTTATTTTTCTATCCATTATAATTCATAACAAAAAATGAAATTGAGTGAAGGTAGATGATGAGGGAGACAGTGAAAGTTTGTTATTGTATGCATTCATGCATTATTATCAGTGTTTGCTTACCTTAAAAACAAAGGTTTCATTGAATATTGGATTTAGAATTTTTCGATGAACTTTAGTTTCATACTTTTTCTTTTTATCCGGTAACAGGGTGACCTTCACATACGGATCAGATGTACCACACAAATCCATAGCTGGTAGATCACAAGCTTGAATTATGCCAACTGTTAACTAGGAAATAAAAAACAAAGAAATATTCAAGACTACACATGATACTTTACACATTTGTTAAATGGAAACTTATAACTGACTTTAATGCCAGTATAACCCTGATAATATATTTGACTAGTGGTGGAATTTAGGAACAAAGTTTCACCTTATCAGGGGCTTATCAGTCGGAGTGTAATAACTTCAGTATTCAGTAAGATCCAGGCACGTCCAGTTGATGAGTCTCATAAGAGGTGAAACAAGCAATGTAGGTTTAAATACTGGGCACTACCGAACATATAACCGAAATCAGGAAACATTGAGGTGTCAGTACAAATAGCCTATCCACTGAGAGAAACTGAGCAGTTCATTTCTGCATATCAGTAGTGCGGAAGATCAGATATTCCAGTTGTACTTGTAGCGAAATGAATTCATCTCTTCATGAAGACAAGCAGTGGTAGCAATAATAATAAAAATAGGTATCAATCCCTGAAGTTACACTGATTAAAGAGGTGTACATGGCTTTCATTTATTGTCATGAGCGTAGTATCATTCGACTATTGTGTTGAAGTAGAATCTATTGGTTAGTACATTATGGATAGACTGAAGTCTTAACACTGAGAAGCCAACAGGAGTATGTATTTTCATCATATGATCTTATTCGAATTCCATGGTATATTTTCATTCGGTATTATTCTGGTAGAAAAGAAGTCTTGGTTATTCTACTGGCAATATTAAAAAACTGATCATTTCCAAAAAAACTAGAATATATGGGTTAATTAATGACTTTAACGTAACACGAGAGATTTTTTTTCTCTCATATAAATCGGTTGGTTTTAGATTATATATTTAAAACGACTGCTGAGACGTTGGATAAAAGGGACTGTGAAAATTATTAGAAAAAACTGTATTGATTAGTTATCATAACGACTAGACTATTCACGCATTTTTATGCTTATTATTATTATTATTATTGTAAGTGAATGTTTCATTGGCTTCCTCCGAGAAATTGGAATCTATGCCGCGTATCACTGATATAGCCTAGTTATCCCTCTCTCTCTGAAGATATATGTATACGTATATATTCGTGTCTACACTTCAGTAATGACATTCAAAGCGATCATCAAGTCACTCATTTCCTTGGAATATAGAAAATACTTTAGGATAACAGAAGAAGGTGTATTGCAACTTCTAATTAAGTACAAAATACAACGGTTTGTATATATTTTCAGTCAGTATGGCTAATTCCGGGCACTTCTAGGAGAACATTCCCAATTGTCATTGCCTCTTAAACACATGTGATCACGCACCCATTCACAAAACTTCGAAGCCAAACGACTGGCTGTAAGAAGCTTCAAGGATTTAGGACATCTTACAAGGGGTCGGACAGTTATTTCAGCTACATATCATTCAGCTAATCAGATCACAAAATCAAATATCCAGTAAATATAAAAACAGGGGATATAAAGAAAAATGCTAATAGACAGGGTTAGTAGTAGTAGTAGTAGTGTGAGTAGTGGTAGTAGTAGTAGTAGCAGCAGCAGCAGTAGTAGTATTGATGCGAGTAGTAGTAGTAGTGTGAGCAGTAGTAGTATGAGTAGTGGTAGTAGCAGTAGTAGTGGTAGTGTGAGTAGTGGTAGTAGTAGTAGTAGCAGCAGCAGCAGCAGTAGTAGTATTGATGCGAGTAGTAGTAGTAGTGTGAGCAGTAGTAGTATGAGTAGTGGTAGTAGCAGTAGTAGTAGTGTGAGTAGTAGTAGTAGTAGTGTGAGTAGTAGTAGTAGTAGTAGTAGTAGTAGTAGTAGTAGTAGTAGTAGTAGTAGTAGTAGTAGTAGTAGTAGTAGTAGTAGTAGTAGTAGTAGTAGTAGTAGTAGTAATGGTAATGGCAATAGTAATGATAATAGTAGCAGTAATGGTAATGGTAAAAAGTTATAGCATACCTCAGCTTTTTGAAAATCATAATCCAATGAGAACTGTAACTTTCCACAGTACTGCTTCTCTTTGTCAGTCTCACCAGCCTGTGCACTTTCATTCATCTCCATATCCGATTTCAATGGAACACTATCCTAGAAAGCAAAAACGAAGACCAAAGTGTACGGCTGTTAACTTTTTTAGCTGTAAGAATACTCCTTAGAAAAAGTTTAACATTGTTTCCCACTGAAAAATGAATATTTGGTAAGCATTCATTTACTATTTAATAGGGAGCAGAACAATGGTTTCTTTTTCAACTGGAATATTTCAACACTTAATGAAGTTCATAGCTGAATGTCACTTATTATCCATTGACATTAAGCGACTCATATATCTTAGAAGTGATCACCTCCCTTCGACTGACACACAGGTTTTCCAAGCTGTCTAGACTGGTAGAATGAATGTAATGTAGATTCTGTGAAAGTTATGCTAAATGAGATGGACTTCGATTGCACAATCCTGAATAGTCTCTTGTCATAGAAATCATGTTAGCCAAAGACTCCATAAGGCTCAAATTGAACACTCAAGTACACATGAAGCAGTAATTTAGTTAACTAGAGAGGAGTTATTATAAGATAGGGTGGTTTGCAATAGCACAGAAGCATACTGTGAACTGAAACCACAGGGTTCATACCCACTATTTATGCACAGAGAAGCAGAACTACATAAACCTAAGACTCCGCTTACATGTTTAATTTCTATATCTCATCTTGTAACAAAATGGTCTGTTGATTAGCAAACAGCCAGAATAAATGCGAAAAGAATTAACTGTTTACAGTATAAAGTATCCCCTTGCGTTAGTCGAAATAATAAGTCAACTACGTATATCACATAAGTTGAGGGTATTCCTGTGGAAGATCGTCAAAATTCATAGAAATCTTAAAGAGGGAACCAGTATTCACAAGTCTTTTCGATTCCCGAAATACAGCTGAAACAGTTACTAAGGTTGTGGACTAGATACGGTTATTTTCAATTTAACAACAACCTATACTGCCAATCAAATGGTGTAGTGACGAGGAATCTGACTGGCACTATTTCCTAGTGATTCATTTGAAAGAAGAAAGCTGATATCTGCAATCATTAAGAGACCAGACTCTAAGCAAGCTGTCTTGATGATACATATACTGTATGCAAAGAAACTAAGTCATACAAATAACTTATTGCCTAACTCGTTCAAAAATCGAATTCACCATGATAGAGAAAGTGAATTCCACTTCCACAGTTTTTGCTCAACAAGCTAAAAGTAGAGATAAGAGGAATCACTCTACCAGAGAGCCCCAAAAGTTAAGTTCTACGGATAGACTAGCAGAAAAGTGGGTGAGAACTGTCTTCAGAAATTCTGCTACCTTTAGATATTTATAACAAGGTAAAATGATGAACTCTATTGTAGAACTCAGAAGGATTAACTTGAGATCAAGTCTATGACCATCACACTGAGATATAAGATTGACTAAGTCGATAGAATGATCAGCCACTGGCTTAGGAGATAACACTTTGGCGTTTGAAGAGATGTGTACTGAGTTTGATTCTCAGCGAGAACAATACTCACTTGGATGAAGGTACATCCAGCTGACGAGTCCCAAATACGACTAAACACGTCTCTTCAATTCTACTGCTAGTCATCAATATTTGGCACTATCGAGGCATCCGCATAGGAGCCCATTCGTCAAACGGGTGGAGTAACTCGACCCAGTATACCAACGGGAAATTACAAGTATCAATAAACAAGAAATCCCATTCCACTTTATATTCTTTATAAAAGCTACTGCAGTCCGAAGGTCTTACTAAGTATGTGGATGTTACGAGGGTTAAGACAAGAACGTCAGCAGTTCCTAAGAAGCAAATCTTCTTGAAGCTGAGATTTAAAAATAACATTGCCAGTGAGACCATCACACAACGCATAAAAAGAGTCTTGTAAAAAGCATTTCCAGCCGCTAAATTATTTCCCATCTTATACAACCACGCGATTCAAGGTGCAAGAAATAAAGACAAACTGCCTGGTTCCGCTACATCCATGTGAATTTATCAATTCAACTGCTCCTGTGGGATCAGTTACATTGGGTGTACAATGACGTAGGTCCATCGTCAAATTTCTGAGCACCACCCATCATGGTTGAGCAAGGGACAAATTAGAACGATAAAGAGCTCCATATTTGCACAACTAGTTGACAAGAGACATCAAGCAGATACTAAAAAAGTTTTCAAAATTATTCCTCACATTTTTCCATCAATTACGCACTCGCTAACTTCACATAACAGAGGCGATTGGAATCCACCTTTACAAAACTAACCTTTGCATTCAAAAGAAGTTTGTTCCACCTTTTTCATTGCTATGGTTGTCAACATGATATAACTTCTAGTACTGTTTTGTACACGTTTTCCCCCTCTTGCTTCTATTAATATTCATTTGTTTTGTAACTATTACGTAATTAGTGTCATTACTTGCATTACACCGCCGTTGATTGGACCGAACTGATCAGTCTCTGTTGGCATTTTGGTTCCTGTTCGGATGCCTCGATATTGCCTGTGTTTCAATTATCTATAGTAATGATGGGCAGTGGCTGGCAGTGGAATCCAAGATGCGCATTTCGTCCCATTTGAGACTCGTCAGCTGGATGTACCTGCCTCCCAGTGAGTGATGTTGTTCCCACCACTGAGACGTAATTATTTATTGCTTATGACTGAATACTCATCAAAAATCACTCCATTTACCTGAGAATAAGTCACTTCATATTTCCAATTTTAATTACTCTACTGATTATTTACATTTCTAGTTCTAAAACATCATCTTCATTACTTACTTAAAATCTATGATTATTGTTCACCAACTACCACCACTTGATTGGTATTTTGATTGAATGGTAAAACTAGATATAAGTGTAGAGCCTAAGACTAAAGCCTGATTGAAAAGGAATACATTTCTTCTCTCAACTAGTCTTTTTTCTAAATGTCAAAATAGGAATATTCGATGAGCTGTGTTACAGTTCATTTGATGTATTACTTTTTCAATGTTCACTTCCGATTTCACACGTTTCCTCGTTGACTTCTCATGATACAAGACAGACTACGCCTAAATTATTTGAAGACTGCAGGTTCACTTAACTGTCAAGCTGTGCACAAAAATTTCTTCCAAATATCCGATCTTGTAACATTGCTTTCCAAAAAACTTTACAACAAAAACAACTACTACTCACGCTACTACTACTACTACTACTCGCACTACTACTACTAATCACATTTCTACTACTGCTACTTCATGACCACCTCTTGATAAAACTTGAGAAAGGATACAACTTCAGTATTACATTTTAGGATTCAGTCATTAGAAGGCAACAGCTCTGGCCTTTCTGCTTTCCGGGACCCATCTCCCAGACATATCTAAAACTTTGAGGAGACCAGTGTCACCTCACTGTTTCGCAGTAACCTACTTCCCTCAGCGTTGATATCACAGACTTTACTATTGATCCACTTAGACCACCTATTACTCACCATTATGGGGCTAAATTAAGCACTTAGCTCATTCGTCAGTAAGTAAACGATGCAGCTCTCTTGTTCGTTATCCTTGACTTTAATCCAAAGACTCAATCATATTCAATCTTGTCTGCTTATATAGCTTGATGCCGAACATTCCGCTACTGAAACTTTCCTCTCACCTACCTACCTTTGACCAGCAATGTAGTGCGACAAACCATTACACAGAAGATTGGAAAGTAGCAGTTTAAAGCTATTTTAAAATGTATCTACCCAAATTAGAGTACATTAATTCCTTGAGCTGTGTTTCTATCTCATATTCAGGGCCAGTAAGTCTAGACTGCTCCGTTTAATGTGATTTGGGATTAATGAGTGGTGATACTTTTATATGAAATGTTACGTTTAAGCATTCCAAAAATTGCGAAGAAAAGTAGTTTAAGCTGAGCCGATTATAAAGAGAAATAAAATCAGAAATTCGTATCGAACTAGTTCAATTCTTTGTTTATGACTGGTAATAAACAGGAAAAGTGAATGAAATGCTGAAGTAACAAAGGTCACTGCCTCTCCCGCTCATTACATTTGGTATATTTCTCCTCCTGTCTACTGCCCGTCTCTCTCACATACCCAAGTACCTGAGACAAGGAACTTACGACTGCAGCACTGGGTGATGTGGGTTCGACTCTCAGATATGCTCTGTTGACTAGTTCCAATTAACAGGACACCCAAGTGTAGGGCTTTCTGCCGATCGCTTTCATCTAACTAACAACATAAACTTCTCTCAAACGAAAATTGGAGGGCATTAAAGCGAAACCACACCAAAGACAATTAAACAAAGCAATCAGATAAATAACCCACCTGACTTTTCAAAGCTTCAGACAAGTGTGCAGCAGTCTTCAAGTCTGCAGCTAACTTCCCACCGGCTATCGACATCTTCTTACTATCCTTCTTGGAACGACGTTTTCTTAGAACACATCGTTTACAAAACCATAACAGAAGAAGTAGGCCAAACGTGACACCCAGTATTGAAAGACTGACAACTCCACCATACGGTACTTGAATCAAAATTTACGTATGTGTTTGGGAGGGGTACATAAAAAATAGACAAACAAACAACAGGTGAATGAATTTCATTGATAAAAGTCCTTAGAAGTGACATCCGATACATTTTGAAAGAAAAAAAGTTGAACATTCATTTTGTTTACCGGTTATAATGGCTTTAAAAAGGCTCCGAGGCGAACAGATATTGCTCAGAGAACTAATGGCATTGAATAAAGATTCTGGGATATGTGAGTGTTGATTATTGAGGCTACCGAGGAGAACCATAGTTTGGTGGATTGTTATTGTTGATAACAGATGGAACTAAAACCCAAGTAGCTGCAGGATTTCAGGTGAAGAACTGTAGATTGTATGCTGACCACAATGCTGACTGACTTCAGTGGATATCTGCTATTCGCGTATTATTCACTATTGTAAACATGCATGACTGAAATTTTACCACTAAAAAGATTAATTTAAATTAACTCATGAGAACACTGAGTAATCAAGTAATTACACACATTGATCTGTCTGAAGAGTAAGTATTATCCTATCGCCAACTCCTAACCGTTGACCAAACTCCAGTCCCATGGCCACCTACTGGTTAGTTCAAGCCATCTAACATCAATCCAAGTGCACCGTGTTGCTGCCAGTTTGGTGTACACAATGCAGACCTGATCGACAGAATTCGGCTGATTCTTAGGACTAAACAACTACACATTGGTTGTTGTCCACTGACCAGTCAGTGCACAGTATTCACTCCTACAGAAGATTGACCACAAGGAGAATAGCTTGGTGGTAATGTTTCTGACAATAGTAATATGTTGTGAGCCAAGATCTGCAAAAAGTTATCTGTTCATGTGAGGCTGCAGATTCCTCCTTCTGATGAATCTCAACAAGCATGTAGTCAGCCTAAAACACAGTTTCTTACAGACTGTTTGCAATCACCTGTTAATTGATTACGTATCAGTTAGATTCGCAGTACCAGTAGAATGCTACTGTGCGCTTATTGTCACGGGAATTAACTTTCGTCCCCCCTTCACCGTTGCTTTAATCGTAGACAGTCAACTTCATCATTCACTGCTTCAAATACCATGTTGTGCACGTTAAAACACAATGAGTGAGGAAGACGAACTCAGTGTCATTTGTAAAATAAACTGCAGAAACCTGGCGTTTGAATCTGCGATCATTAGATTGCACTGAAGCACCACAATTTATCTTCCCTCCTATCAATACATTTATACAGTTTTGGACATGGACCCGAATAAAAAATTGTGAGATTCTTGAATAAAGGCGGCAAACAGAGAGAATGTCAGGATATTGTAGTCTAATCGGCGGGTAGCAGTAGGATCCACGATGCGACTTTCGAGCCATTCGGGACTTATCAGCTGGATGTACCTGCACCCCAGTGAGTGATGTTGGTTTCACTAAGACTCGAACCAAGTACACATCGCTTCTGGATGCAGCTACATCCAGCTGACGAGTCCCAAACACTACGAAACATGCCCCTTGAATTCCACTGTTAGTCAGCAAGATGAATACATTATCATGAATATTCGGCACTATCGAGGCATCTGCATAGGTGACCGTCTGTCAAAACGGGTAGAGCAATTCGACCCTGTTTAACAACGGAAATTACAAGTATCAATAAGTGTCAGGATATTTTAATAATCTTATCATTCAGACCAATCACAGACCAACAGGTATATTGACAAGATCTAGTCTATCAACCAATAAGGAACACGGAAAACAAGAAGGCTGGAGTTCATGCCAGTTGATTTATCAGATATATCACACAATGAAACGGTATTATTTACTGGATTATATTTCAGACACAATTTATTATCCATACTCATAACACCTTTTTGTGATTATGGACAACAAATCGTGTCCGAAAAGTAACTCAGTAAATCAAACTATTTCTCTGTATGACATTTAATAAATCATCTAAAATGAAATTACATTATGCCAATGTCAAGGATTTTCTCTTTTATAATGATCAAGTCAACAAGACAGCCAATCAACAGAAAGTGGGGTAACAGCATAGCTGGAACAGCCAATCACGTTCAAGGTCATCAAGACACCACTGAGACACTTGTGGAGGATTTCTCATAACTCACTTCTTTCCAAATTTTGTAGTGATGATGTTGTTGCGAAAAAACCGTTTACCAGAAAGAATACAACACCAAGAAAATAATCTTACTGAGTTACTGATATTCTTCACTGTCTCAAAGAGTGTTATCTACAAGATTACTGAGTTATAACGTCCACCTATTATTCACTAGGGATACATCCATTTCAACGCACGAAATTTTATATCATGTACAAAAGTGTATGGAAACATTCATGCAAATAAAGAATATGCTAACAATGTTATCATGGTGATATTCATCACGAACTGACATCATCGAAAACCTCGGAGCACTGGTCAGTAGTTTCATTTCTGCACGGGACTCCCTAGCAGTATCACTCACAACCCCGCCAGGGGTCGAACCCAAGACCTACATGTCTCGTGGCGAATACGCCATCCATTGAGCTATTGAATCATTTCCTTACTTCTGCCAATTTGTGAAGTAGCGTGACTATCTACCACGGTCTTCAGTTAGCATCCACTTCACTTCCTACTGGTTGACCCCCGTAGGACATGACTTCTGATTCAAACTTAAGGATGTACATCCATGTCACTACAAAGTAATTAGAGCTTCGTAGATAGTCGCACTATTTCGTAAACCAAGAGAAGTAAGAAACTGTCAACCCAATCGTTCAATGGTATACGTTTTCGCCGAGAAACCTAGAGGTCTTGCATTTGATCCCTGGTTGGGCGTGTACCACTGGGAGGAAACAGCTGTCTACTGCTGTCAGCTTTTCAATGGTTCTTCAAATTATGTCAGTTCATAATGAATACTTCCTTGGAATAATTAAAAAAACCCATAAATCTCAAACTAAAATCAATCCCATCTTCAAAGTCAACAATACTAAATTTCAGCTTTCTATTACATTGACGGTTTAAGGAATCTGAATAAATCAATATTATTGTAACCAATTACATTCATTTTAAAATAGACATACACACACACATACACACGCACAGACACACAAAAATGGAAACACACTAAATCGATTAGTCACAGACCCAATAGAAGTTAACATTACATTCCAATATTGACCATTATAAAATGTATCGAAAAAAGTCAATAAATTCATAGTTTATCTTTTTTTCTCTAAACAAGCGGAAAATTGAGTGAAAGATGATATAAATCTTCTTTTTCAAATATTTACCGACAAAACATTTTCATTCCGCTAAAAGAAATTTTGAACACAGAAAAATATTGTTGGATAGGAACGAGGGATTTAGATAAAAGGATGACATGGATGGTGGGAAGAAGGAAGATTGTTCACCTGCGTGGAATGCGCTACACTGAGAAAAGAAGGAAAGTATAAAGTGTGAGCGAAATGAGGCAAAACAAAAGATCTGGAAAGTTAAAATTAGCCTATTTCTAGCGGGAAATTTGTGAAACACCTTGAAAAAACATATGTAAGCAACTATGTGATGCAAAACATATAATGAGAATGTTTTCTGATAAACAGTGGGAATAGATTCTACAAAAATTATATATCCACCAATAAGAAATTTCATTCTGCAACTAGACTAGCCTTCTAATTACGATCGGTACTAAGAAATGTAGGGTTATGTATCAGTTTTAAGCTTTGTTACTTCAAAACGGCAACCAAACCCTTTTACACAACACTGGGCAATGACTGGACCACTGTGGGACTCGAACTAGAGATCTGTGGTTCATAAAAACCAATAGCATGGTCTTAATGACTTGGTTGGTTATAACTTTGTAGATCAACATACTATATAAAATGGGACTGTTTGAAGTATGAAAAAGGGAGTGAATGGGTTTCTGTTGCCTAGGCAAACTGCTGAAAACAGTTTATGTGAACGAAATCCCCTGTGACCCGCTTAGTTTGACTAACCTAACTGTCCAATAGTCTCAGATTCAAATGTTACCTCAGTCAGTAATCAGAATTATCCAAGATAATAAACACCAGTTGGCAGGAGACCGCAGGACTCTTTCTGCCGCTGCTAGACTTTTGCAAAAAGTGGTGTAACTTATCTACCATCGAAATTTATAACTTTCAGTAAGTCAACCTTAGCAATACACAGATCTCTGACCTTGGTATTGGGTAATACGAGTTTATATTCTGCAACAGGAACATAAGGCTTACAATTAAACCTTGCTGATCAATAATAGCGAACGCAAAAGCAACGTGGTGCATGGATTCTTAAAAGCTAAATGCTTAACTCGAACAGCAGATAATTTGTACAACATTTGAAACGGAAGAATTTCACTGTCTAGCGGATAAATATCCTTAACCTACTGATACTGGATGATGATTGTAAGTGAAATGGAAATCTGGGCCACAACGGGACTCGAACCAGAGACCTCCAGGTTATCAGCCCGGTGCTCTACCAGATTGGTATGTGAATACTTGATCCCCAGCTGTTCGCTTGTCTTATTCACACTAACTTCCCAGTCAGGTACTTCTCATCCAAATAGAAATGGAACTGAATTAGAAAGGGGGAGCATCATATTGATTATCAGTTTATCTATCTTAAAATTGTGTCATTTAGGAATGCAGTTTGGCGAAAAGTTATGAGTTGGAGTCACTCACATCCCTACTACCTTAGAAGAGACGTTTGCAACTGGACCTGCCGATGCCTTTTGGTTCAGATATTTCAAGAGGTTCGACTATTTTTTAAAAACGAGTGAAATGTTTTAAGTGAAAAATACTGACATGTTGCCCGATACATATTTTTCAAACCTGTGACAAAGTGAAAATTAGTTACATTTTTATTTGATTGTATATTTGGAAGTGACTAGCTGAGGCATCCAAGATGCGCGTTTTGTCCCACTTAGGGCTCGTCAGTGGCATACATCCAAGTTCTTATTGGCGTTCATTTTGGTACAGTAACACAGAACACATCAGTTCAAACGCTGAAACTTCAGTTTTCTTACTGCAACGATAATCGTTACTTCTTGTTTCGAAATGGTCAATTCGGGAAGATTTTGAACATAATGAAGTTTCAGTGGAAGAATTTTTCGATCTGTTGATAAAAAATAGGCGATGAACAATACCTATTATTACTACCTGGCTACCGGAACGGGAGTGGGGTTCGAACCCATGGTTCACTGCTTGACAGTTGAGTGACTAATTCCATGGACTATATCTTCAGGTAGGTAGGCTATATTAGGTTGGTCGAAAAGTCAATAAATCATTTGACCAAAAATAAATTAGAAAAACACATTAGACTCGGACCGAAAAGCAATAACTATCTTCATACATATCAGATTCTATCGTATCGTGCACTTAAACTACTGAATGCCAAAAGTATTCTCTTCCTATTACAAAAACTTCCGGTTATTTAACTGTGTTGATTTCGATTAAATTTAGCCAATGATGCAATGAAGTCGATCGATCAATTGAATGTAATAATAATAACATCAGTACAGATTACAAGAGATAGTTGAGTTTAGTCGGATGGTGTAGGTAATCAGTGGATAAATTCAGTTTCAATAAACAACAACTGATACCTATTGAACAACTGGTGGCTCTCTTGCCTCAGTCGCCTTGCGAATAATGCAATGGGATTTGAAGCAATAAGCACTGGGTTAAAATCTCACTGGGAACCACACCACTTACTGAGGTGCGGGCAAAACGAGTTGACGAGTCTCAAGTTCGACGAAACGCACATCGTGGATTCCACTGCTAGTCTCTAAGCAGACTAAGAAATGGTGAAAGCTGTACTAACATAAATAAGTTGAATCTAATGAACCAAATATGAAAAAGAGAAAATCGCAAAACTTCATTCAGCACCTTTTCATTAGATGATTACAGTGATTGTAAAACTTAACCTGTTATTCTGCAGGACCGTTGAATAACTGTATTTCCATAAGCTTGCTATTGATGCTTTTGTATGGACTATATTATCCACAGTCCACCAGTTGTTAGCAGTAAATACGCCATCCTCGTGACAAAACAACTCATGAGATAGTAGATAAGATTTTTAGCTCAGGATGAAAATGATGAAACGTCCAAGACGAGAAGTGAAAAAAGCCTGAAGAACATCAAATCAACTGACCTCAGATTTGAAAGTGAATGTGTGATATGGCCTCGTTATTCCAACTGTTGCATAAGTCAGATTAATTCATCATTATAAGGATATTAAGCAGTAATCATGTATTCTATTGATCGAAGGTTAGAAGGTGAAGACTATGAATGAGTCATCAGTTGTGTGAAGGACGACTTTAAAGATCACCCTAGTAACTGCCAAAATAACCAATCAGGTTGAGGTATTTAGGCTGGAAATATAATTTTGCATAGAGTAGAGAAACGTGATTGGTTGTTTTATCAGCTGCTAGGGTGACCTTCAAAGTAGGGATGTGTAAATCATATATGGAAATAAAATCTTTGAATTTCATCATATGAAGTGAGTATTTTAAAAAAAGAACAAACCTAAATAAGGTGAGATAAAATTTAAACTTACATCCACCATAGTGTGATTTTTCAGCCTGCCGCCTTAGAATCTGTTGATGTCTGAGTATATCTTGCCCACTTTTAGTATGCGTTATATCAACTGGAGCTGAGAAAGGCTGATAGGCATGGTCAGTATCACTGTCGCCTATACGTGATATGCGATGAGATGGTGATGTCAATAGATGACTTTCACTTTCGTCAACTTTGGAAGGAATCATCGGAGAAGCACTAACAGTGGTAGTGGTGGTGGTGGTGGTGGTGGCAGTAGTCACCGTCGTCACCGGATGTTTTCTTCTGAGCACATCAGTAGATTGGTGAAGAACTGTCTTCTCATTCAGTGTAGTTGTTCGGTCTATTGTTGTGTTGTCCATATATCTGACATCGTCATTTCTGTCGGCATTGATAGTTGTTTCTTTTGAAGTTATCGTTGTGGCGTTATTTCTCTCGTTATCATCACCACTATTCATTTCAGAATGATTAGTAGTATCCGAAATCGTTTCATTCTCCTTCATTGCTTCATCAGTAGATCGTTTTCGACCTACTGAATCCCTTGAACTGTAATCGTTTGTTTTACTTTCTGATAACAAATAAGCATTTGGTAAAAACTTCATTTTTCAAATAAATCTTGTAGATAATGGAGTACTTTCTTATGATTCTCAATTGAATAGCTGAAATTCAGAAAACAAAATATTCAAGGTCAATAAAAGTTCAATAGACAAGTAATCATGACTCAGCGTGTAAATATCCTGTACTGTTTTAAACAAGTTCATCGTATCATTGTACTTGTTCACCTGCATTCAATTACTTGTTATTAATTTTGTTTTGAAGGAGTTGTGGGGATTCGGAAATATTTCAAGTTGTTATTCATCGTAGACTGATATCAGTTGGGGGAACAAAGGAAACCTGGGAGCACTGGACAGCTATTTCGTCCTAGTGTGGGACTCCTCAACAGTGCGCACCCAAGACCCTGCCAGGGATCATTTACCTGTGTTAACTAAAACGAGCTAGTCCCATGTGTTCAAAGTGGTGTCATTGGCTGACACTATTGTGGTCTTCTTGTTGCACTAGAACTTTTGGGTTTGTCCAATTGTTGCTCATGGTCGATTTCAGGACACTTTCCTCAATTCCTGAGGACAACAACTAGCTAACAAGCATGATGTAGCGGAAAAACTGCTGAACGTTGTGGAGTTATTGATAGCTAGGATAACGATATTTTGTTAAGTACTTTTGATGTTAATTGATTAGAGGCAATCGACATGAGGTTCTAGATCTACGTTTCCTTCTTGTTAACACTCGTTAGGAAGACGTATCTCCAATCTTAAGAGGACAGGTATCTCCTGTGAGTTTAAAAGCCGTGCCACTCAGTCCTGCAGTTAGAGACAATACTAGTGAGCTATTCGGATGGTAATTAACCTCCTGTAGGACTGGATAAGATACTGTGCTTTCTGGAGATCGCCCCACAGAGAAAACAAATTTTCTCCTAGATTAGTGAACACATTGCAAAATGATCGATAGAACTTGGTCAACACTAAGAAAATTGGTTGCCCACCGGCGACCAATTAATAGGTACACTTATCCTTATCCAAATGGGTGCCAGGTCACTTTAAACGATACAGTAAACATGATTGAAATACATAATTCCAACGACTTTCACAGACATGGTTGTAGATATGAAAGGAAACTGATCGAAGACTGTTGATCGCGTTTAGAAGTGACACTCAATCTAAGAGAAACTAACTGACTCGCAGCTTGCTCATCTCAAAAGCTTTTGAGTCAGTTGGTGAGAAACCTTTCTTGATCAAGGCCGTAGGAATGTTACGGACCTTCAGGAAGATGTGTCTGAAGCCTTTAAAAAACTCATTATGCTACACTTCCCAAGTTATCAGCTCTGCTGTGAGACTGTTCAAGCCATCTAGAATTCAATTATGTATATATTTCCGTGATAGGATTAGCCTACTGAGTGATATAAACTGGAATCGATTAGTCACTGGAGAGTAGACAACTTAATGTTATCTAGTCTAAGTGCTTGTCAAATTCTATCGATGCTTTTGTAGTGTGATCGCCAGGTTGGAAGACTCATCATTGTGATGAACTAAAAGAGATGTTATTTGGATGTAGGCAATCGATAAAAAGCCCTACCTGACTTAAGTTTCCTGCTTTTTGGCACTCATCATCAAGGTTTATCTGCAGTCTCGACGAAACTGTTGCCGCGTCTGTGACTTGGACCTACTTCAACCAGTTTTGTAGTCAGACAAGTTACCAGTGAGCGGCCCGAGTAGCCCAAGTCACTACAATGCACACGTGCACATGAAGATGCAAGATAGCAAAATAGAAGAGAAATATTTGGAATACTGGATTATGATTGGAGGTGAAATGAAAATCTAGACCACGGTAGGATTCGAACCAGCACCCTGGTCAGTAGCCATATTGGTAGAGCGTCGGACCAGCTACCAGGAGGTCGCTGGTTCGAACTCTTCCGTGACTTGATTTTCCACCTCGCCTTCAATCACCACGCACAAGTCTACAAAACCACTGCCACCTCAGATAGTCAGACTGATAAGTATTTAAGAATTTCACTCAAAAGTCGTAGAAAGTCATAAAAGGAGATAGAGAAAAGGTGACATAGCAACAACAACGAAGACAGTGTCTAGATGCACACGCGCCATTGAGCTCTATCCTGAGCAGTATCACCTAAAGTCTCCAACTCCCCACCTCAACTGCCATACTGACCTGAGAACTGGAAGTCTACATCTACCTACAGTTGGAGAATCCGTGAACTGAGACCAACTTTTTATTCTCGGCACTTTTAAGTATTTTCTACTTTATGACTACATTAGGTAACATTGTACGCGTCAGGGTAGACGGTGACCAGAGATATGTCCCTGGCACTTGAGTCATTGAATGTTCACAACTTCATCAACCGACTTACATCTTTTGTCTGATACTCTTCGCATAACTTTAACGTAACCTATATGGTAGTTACATGACACGTTGTTAGTTCTATGCTGACGGTGATGATCGAACATCTGAAGTCTTCTTTTGTTCCCCATCTATAATAGCTACGCTTTACAGTCATATAATAGAACAGTGCAAAGAAATAGGAATATAGAACTTCCTGTAAGCAGGCTGATTTCCATAAGAAATGTTTCCAGGTAAATGAACATTTCAGTATATGCTATACATACGGTGAATACTTTGACTTCAATGCTAATTAGGGGACGAACGTCTTATAGCCAATCAAAACACCATTGCTTTGATGTTATAGCTTGTAACTATGCTGCGAAACCCGTCACACAAGCAGTAGCTATTGTGACTCACTGGCCTAGTGGATAACTGTCTGGCGTTTGGGGCGATTCCAATTGGGTTCGAGTCTTAGTGGGAACAACACTACTCACTGAGACGCAGGCACATCCAGCTGACGGATCCCAGACGGGTAGTAGTTGCATACATAAACATTATTAGTAAAGATATGCCTCATTTGTAGGTCATTTCTGGTACAGTCTCAGTAGACAGGATTTGTATGTCGGGAAACATACCTGTTAAAATCGATTACATTTAATCCGAGATAAATAAGCATCTCATTATACCTTTTCATTTTCTCGCTGTTCATTTAATTTCAGATGTAATGTAACAAAAATATCCCTAAATTATATATATTTATGTGAACAGATGGAAAGAATCAACGTAGAAAATCGAACTTAAGTGCATCACATCAAATCACCACACTTAGCAGTAGTACACAAAGAAAAGGTGGATAGAAACGGACTTATGCCAAAGTAGATAAAAATGTATCACAGAATAAACAGTCAGAAGATAAAGGTTGCTGAAAATGTTCAAGCTTTCAAAGACGTCAAGGGGTGAATGCATCTGCACCAATGTGACTGATTTTCAGCCATGTTATATCACCAAGAATCCTCAACTACTGATTCCTATCGTCTGTAAGGCCCTAACCAGGCAATCAATATCTGCATATGCGGCTCAGACCAAGAGTCAAGAACTTCATAGACTGATGCCACTTCTTGGTCTGGCCACTGTGACCTCCCAGTCCCGAACTAACCCATCTTCCCTTAGCATGGCATGTCGAGATAGGCAGGGGTTCGACATGCACAATACATGTTCAAGTTCTCTCAGTCAATGCAGGTTCATAACCTCATCAGTCAACTTACCCATGTTGCTGAGTTCTCTTCGCCTGACCTCAACATTGCATACACGATGATTTCACCACCGGTGAGCAATGCTAATAAGGCACGTGTGGTCAAAACCCTGGATTTTGCTTTCAGTGAGCATGTCTCACAGGCATATAGCAGGACAGGATGAACTACAGTGCAGCTTAGTCGTTTTCTGATTGATCGATAGTCGGATATCACATCAGTCGGAGCCAGCGATGATACATGTCCGCAAATCCCAAACGGGCTTTCTATATCCCAGATGAGATCTCGTCAGCCACCAGACAGATCAAGCTGATACAACTCTCCAATTAAGTGAGGTGGTCGACACATTCTATCCCCTCATTCTCCGTCTTTAAACTGGTAGCAGTTGCAAACCAGTTCTGAAGTATCATCTTACGTTTGACAGATGCGAGACGTATGGCTAGTAAAATTTAGGTAAAAAGCTGGACTCAGGTGATCTAGTAGGTTACTCATTGGTGTCTGAAGCGATGGGCACTGGGTTCGAGTTCCAATGGGGACAACATCACCCACTTTGGTGCAAGCACATTCAGCTGAAGAAACCCAAACAGGACGAAACGTACGTCATGGATTTCACTGCCAGCCACCAAGCAGAATACAGTGGTGAAACCATTTCAATTATATTTGTATCAAAAGCCGTGAGTTTACAATGAGGCTTTATCAAATTTGGTTACCTTAGCAATAAAAATTTTCATTTTGTTATGTGAATGTTATGGCAGTTTGAAATACCTTTTTAGAAAAATTTCAGGACTTTATGTATTCTTTTATTGATCGATGTGTTATTGTGGGCAAGGCTTTTTATTCGACATTCATGCGTTATATTCCTTCCTGATCAACAATTTTGGTTGATGAGGTCGAGATGTTGTTACGTCCCACTTAAGAAGAAAAAGCTGACTAGTGCATAGGAATCGATTATTTAGTTATTCATGCGAGAATCATCAGTGTCAAACACATTTCTTTCAGATAATCAAATACAACAGTGACCTCTAGGTTACCTCTGAATCGAATCCTGCCAATAACCAAATTTTCACTTCATTTTATCATCAACCGAAAAATGTGAGTCTCAGATAAGTGTCGTTGATCGTACTGTTTTACTTATTTTAAACGTCATTTATCTAATGGCCTAGTCGGGTAACAATACTGCACGGCTGTCTTCAAGAGATTTCGATTGACCCCTGATCCATTTATTTATGATTTATAGTTTTGAGCAGGGCCGAGCTGCATGACTCACCGTGCGGATGGATAGAGTGAAAATACTAGAGGCAAGACTATACAAGACCAACCACGTTCAAGGTCAGGGTTAAGATTGAACCAATTACATTCAGTCTGTCAAACCATAGTTATCTAAGATAGCCAATCACATTAATATTTGGTTCACACTTTCACTTTCAACAACTGGTTAGGTGTTTGTTATCTGACTTTCA